AACTTTTAAATGCTTCTCTTATTTCGATTGCATTTTTAGTACTATTATTGCTTCCAACTCTCGTTAATTCAGCTAATGTATTAAATTGATTTAACTCTAATCTCCAAGAACCTGGAATAAGAGAACCGTTACCATCTTCAGAGTCAACCATTGAAGATGTAATGTATTGCACGCTTTCTTCTCCTCTAATATCTGCACTTCTTAGCCAATTATGCCAGCAGAGTGACGCTTGAACAATCAACATAGTATTTTCCACACACATATTAATTGGTCTTCTGAAAATTCTCCATATGGAAGCCAAAATACCAAAAGAATTTTCTATTGTTCTTCTGGCTCTTCCTAATCGAAAATTAAATACTCGCTTTTCATAATCAACACTTTGTTTCCCTGGATATGGTCTCATTAAATAGGGCTTTAAAGGAAATGCTTCATCGCCAACTAGGCAGTATGGGAATTTTTCACCTGACTCGCATACTGAAGTAGGTGGTGGAAGATTCATCTCACCATTGCTGAATTTGGTACCCATTTCAGATTCACTAAAAACACCTCCATCACTTCTTCTGCCATAAGCTCCTATGTCTACAAATGTAAACATATAATTGGCATCACAAATGGCAAGAAGGACAATACTAAAGCTTCCTTTATAGTTATAATAACATGAACCAGATAATGATGGACACTGAATAAAAGTAAACATTTATTGTATTTACATATAAAATACTACTGCCTGGCATTTTATAAGAAATACTTAAGACAATTTAGGATACACACTTGAACAACTACATGCTTGCCGTCGATTGCACCAATACAATTAGGAAAATTCCATCTACGATAAAAACCGTCAGCTTTTTTCTTCCAATCTTCATGACTTAACTCTGCTTTTAAAACTATTGGTTGTAAATTTTTCCAGATTGCTTTGCAAGTTTCAGAAATAATACTAGATGCAGTTGTCACACCTACTAAAAACTGATAGGACATGGAGTGAACAGAATCTCCAGAAGCAAGACATCTAAAAATAATAGTTGTTCAAAATGATTTTAGAAAAAAAGAGTTAATAAATTAATAAATAGTTACACATTTTTCACCTGATAGTTAACGTAAGACGCTCAGCAACACCAATTGGTTCTTTTATAACATATTGTTTCGCAATATCAAAACTAACTAACAATAATAAACTTTCTAATTGCGTAGCTGACATTCTGAAATAGTTATGAAATCTTAAATCTTCTAATACAAGATAAGGCAGTACTGCTGCATAAAATCCACTGGTTTTTCTCCTTTTAAAAATTGGAGCGACAACGTATTTCTTTTCAGAATATTTTCTTTTTCTTGTACTGTGTAAATGTACAGATACTGCAGCTGCTGCTAATTTCCATTTTCTACACAGTTCCTGATAATTATAAATTGCATAAATTGTAAAAATAGATTGAACTAACAAATTATTATAGTCAATTTGTTGATTTTCCATTTTCTTTACACAATTATGGAAAACTAAACACATTAGTAACGACAAACATTTTTACTCGCGTCATAAGCAGCGAACACTCGCTGTTTATTAGCGAGTATTCGCTTACTCGCCATTCGCTATTCGCCAGCGAATTATTCGCTTCATGAAAACAAGCCTTTACTGGTAAAAGTTTTTGCCCACCCAAACACAAAATTATTAAAATTTCTAAGTTTTATATTATAGTTGGAAATCAACTTACAGAGCCTAGGGGGGGTTCATTTGAAAGATCTTTTCAAATTCTTTCAAAATGTATACTTCAAAATCACTTTAAATAATTTTCCCTTCATCCTATCATAAAAAAAATTGTCTTTTTAAAAATTTGTTGCTCATCTTCAAGTATTTGCCATTTTCAAAAAAAAAAAAAAAAATCACAGAAAAATGGACAAAATAAAGCATTTCATAGCTTTTTTCAAGTACTTTCGGAATTGCTGCTGCGAAATTTTTTTTATTCAAATTCAGCGATTTTATAAGCATTTTATTCCAAAACAACGTTCAATTGACTCTCCGTATCTTTGAACATTCGAATGATACGAAAATGTTTATTGAAAGAATATGCTTTATTTTGTACAGAAAAAACGTAGAAATTTTTTAAGAATTAAAAAAATATTTGTCTATTTTTTAACTAACATTTTGATGTGTCGCGAAGATGCACTGTGTCGACAGGCTATAATTTCGTTTTTTTTAATCTTAATTAATTAATAGAAATCAATATTAAGAACAGAATGAGAACCTTCAAGATATACAGGGTGGACCATTTTAATCGAAGCACCCAGAAATCTTTTTCCAGGTAAGGATGCGTGAAACATGTTACAGACAAAAGTTGCTGGACTCCGAGGGGGACATAATCGGGTGACCTTGACTCTGACCTTGAGGGTCATTTTCAAGGTCATCCGAAGGTCAACTTTGTTTTTTTAAATAGAAACCCCCATTTTTGACCTCGGATTTAGAAATTCTACGTTCGGATGACCTATTATACGTGGGGTCTGGGTGACCACCAAGGTCGCCCCCAACATCACGTAAAGTTCAATGTTTTTTTTTTCTTAATCTTTCCACCTAACTAACCTAAGATCGGTATGGTTTAGAGAAAAATGATGTAGACAAAAGTTATTGCGTTTTGAGAGGGGCATCTTGTGGTGACCTTAACTTCGACCTTGAGGGTCATTTTCAAGGTCATTTGAAGGTCAAATTTGTTTCTACTTTTCTATTAGTAGTAACAGTAGTAGTAATTTCTACAATACTTGTTTTGGGACTGTCTGTACACTAAAGTGTACAGTACACAAATTGATCTTATTTATCATGAAAAAATTATCATATTTATTATCTTTTTTATTAATAATTAATCAGGAATCACAAAGCATTGTGAAGAAATCTTAATAATTACAAAAAATGTCGTTTCAAAATATGGTTCAAGATATGGTTAAAGTTTCAAACGATTTTCAATTGTAGATCACTTTCTGAGGGTACTCCCTTAAGGGATTGCTCCCACGACTTACAGGTCCCTCGCTTCGACGTACCTGGGCACGTATTTCCATTGCGTTTCGGTCATCCCCGCTCACGCTGGTGGGTATCCGACATTCGAAAAGTTGTTTCCCGATTTTCGCCCCAATTTCGGATTTCGTTTTCTATGGAAAGGCTTTTATGACTCGCTGATACTGATCTCTGTTCTTTCGTTCAATATTCGTTGACTTTGGGTTAGGGATGGGGTCTCGCCTAGCCGACAAGGCGACTCCCCAGGTAGTTTTCAGCATTCGTGCCAGTTATGCCACTCATTCGAATCAAGTTCCAAAATTTAGGCTTAAATCAGGCATTTAATTAACGTTCGAAATTAGCATTCAAATTATTATGTTGGCCATATGGCCTGCGTTCTCATAGAGGACCGTTGTGTGTTTTGCCTTCTATCTCCTTGCAGAGATAGTGTTTTTAGTCCACCACGTAAAGGTACACACATCCGCACTTGTGACTGCAAGTCTTCTTTCAAATACACTTCGGGTCGACTTGCATTTACTGCTTGTCGAGGGCAATCGGTGGCGCATTTTGTACATCAGCATTTGCATTTGCATATGCCCGTACAGTCTCGCGGCTGGCCATATGGTGCACTATGTGCATCATTTATGTTTTTGCTAAGCGGATCGTAATCGAACTTCCTGAGAGCGTCGTGATTGCAACCGCCAGGACCGTTACACAATGCGAGAACAAGTAATAATAACGTATGCTGAAAAATAGTATCAGCAGGATGGAGCGATACCTCACTTCGGTAGGAATGTGGGAGCATACCTAGACAACTAATTTACTGGCAAGTGAATCGGAAGGAAAGATGCAACAGAATGGCCTGCTAGATTACCCGATCTTAACCGTCTTGATTACTTTCTTTGGAGATATATTATAAGTAGCTTACAATACTCAACCACAAAACTTAGAAGAATTGCGAAACAGAATTTTGTAAAAAGCTGCTTTCATAGATAGAAACATGATTTATGGAGCCTTCTACGAACGAATATCTACATACCAAGGTATTCAAGGATTACAGTTTCAACATATGAAATGAATTTCAGTGAATCGTAAGAGGCAAGGAGTCTCACGGTAAATAAATAAGAAGCGTGAGAGGCATTGAGAAGATCCTCAGAAGAAACACAGAACTTACTACATCTACGCCTCTATTCCTGGAAATCGCAAAAAGTAAATAAATTAAAGAAATGACTTTATCGAGTAAGGAAACATTTAAAAGTGATATTTTCCCTTTTTCCAATTGCCGATATTAGAACAGGAAGTTCCTGTCTGAAAAAAGAAAGTTGACCTTGAAATAACCTTGAAGGTCATTCTCAAGTTCAAAATAAATGTCACCATCAGATACCTCGTTAAAAATTACTAAAGAAATGACCTTGACCATTGTCCAAAATGTCTTATCTGACAAAACGCAGGCCCATACGGATTACTTTTTTGACTTTTTCAGATATTATCAGTTGTTTCCAACTTGATTCAAAATCAAGAATATTAGCAGTAACCCCATGAAATTTATGACTATGTTCACACATATAAATATTAATAGGCGCATATAGACGCATATATAAGTATAGCACGCATTTGACAATCTCGACTTAGCCTCGATCGTCAATTTGAACGTGCTCTAGCCTTGTCAATTTTCACCCATGGTGTGTATATTATATTTTTTATTCAGTGAGGCCCAAATGAACATGTTACTAACCGAAATGCAGTCAGAAAATACTACTTATGGGCCGCTGGGCAATAATAGTGCATTATGGACGCAGTGTATAATGTTGCCGACCGAGCGAAGTAAGTAATGTAATACATTCCGTAATTTAAGTTTTTTACGTTGGCTTATATAAACAGTTCTAATAAAAATATCGTGATGAATATTTTTCTTTGTGACATAGTACTTGGAATTAACTTTAATTTTTATATATCAAAATACCATGACGAAGTTAATAATTATGATTAGCCAACTGTATTTCTGAATAGTTTTGACGCTTCTTACCTTTTTCAAATGTTTGTTCACCCATTTTGTAAAAGTTTTCTTCTGTATAGCATCTCTTTCATCTGAAAAGGAAACAAAAATAGAGTAGGTTAACATAGTTCTAAGAAAGCAGTAGTCATTAAATGTCAATTCAAATGTGCTTCCAACTATCTAAATGGTTGCTATTTTTGCTAATTGAAAATATACTTAATTTTCTATTTTATTAACTGTAACAATAGTCCGCTAAAAGCCTTATTTCAACATATTTTATGAAAACTAGACATTTTTTATGAGTAGCAATTAAATTACTGCATGGTTACTTAAAAATAACCATTAATATTAAAATTCGGTTCAATTTAATATAGACTTAAACATTTTTCAATAACAGAACACTTCGTAACACAAAATGCTGAAAAGATTATTGAAAAATAATTTGTATAAATATTTTACAATAAATATACAGGGTATTTCAAAAGTTCCGCGACACCGAATAACTTGTAAAGTACATTATTTTTTTAAAGGGTTAAGCTGCAAACTTTAGTGATTTTCAACGAGAAATTCTATGGTGAGCTTTATTTTGATCTTGACAATGACTTTCAAGGTAATTTCAAGGTCAACTTTATTTTTTAATGGAAACCTCTCTTTTTGACTCCCGAAATATAAAGAACAGAAAATTTTACGTTCAAATACGTATTAAAATCTTAGGTCAAGGTGGTCTCTACAGGTCAAATTAAGATCAAATGTATGCAAACAGATGAATCCCTGAAAATAATGCAGGATTACTTTTAGAAATAAATCCTTAAGATTAGTCTATTAATAATTTTCGATGAGGAAGTCAATGGTGGCTTTTGCTTTGATCTTGAACCTCACTTTTGAAGTCATTTCAAGGTCAATACGTATTAAAGTCCAAGATGAAGGTAACCTTTAGAGGTCGAATGTAAGTCATTAAGGTTAGACCACGGTAAGAACAATGAGAGTATCGTACAGAGAGTCAGCTACTTGATATGCTAAAAAATTACTGGATATACTTTCTAGGTAGTTTACAGGATCGTTAATTACTAATCTTATTTCCAATAAAATATCTTTAACGACGTCAACCAAATAACAAATAAACTAGCGATGTATTGATATTTACTTTTAGCGTTTTCTAGAAACAACAACGTGGACGTAGGAAATGATTCTTTGAGGTGCTTAATTAGCGTGAATCCCCTTGCCTCTTATGTTTCGAAGTCCTTATTTAGCGTGAGTGCCCTTACTTTTCACGTTTGGAGTGCTTCATTAAAGTGAGTCCTTTTGCTACTTACATCATAGGCGTTTGGTAGAACGTACCAAATTTTCATCATAAATGTTCAAAATTTCTCCATTCACTGATCGATAATGACCCATCCGAATGAAGAAACTATGACAGCATATTGAGCAATTTCAGTTGGAATTATAGCACATTCATCAATTATTCTTTGTTACATTTCTGCTAACTCTTGAGTTTTAGTTTGTAACGGGGTGTGAATTCCGTTTTAATTTCTTTGTCTCGCCCGATGCGCAATCGTACCGGAATGCGCGCGGCGAGATCGAAATAGTCAATTTTGCTAGCTAACCGAGGAACAGGAGAGGACGGGTGTCAGTCAACCAACTTACTAATAGCAATGACAACAGTAAATTAATGTTTCAATCATACATGGACTAGTTTATTCATCATGTAATCTACAATGCATTTGGCCCGCGTATTTACGCTTATACGGTGTGCACGACAATCTTATGTATCGTCAATTCGTTTACAATCGATCGATAGAGTTATTCGCTTGCATGCTCACTCGCTACCGATTTTCTTGTATTCGCAGATGTGAGGGGAGAGCTAAGATGTTACGCGCGGTCTCTTATCGAAAACAATAACGTGAAGCTGGTCAGCTTACCTTATGCGATTAGTCGCGCTGTCAAGGGGAGCAGTTCTACGTCGTCTTTTAGCGTGAGGCTCAGGTTGCCACTTTTCCATTTTGAAGACGAGGCCTTTTTGTTCAACTCGCTGCTTTTGTCGGATCAGCTCGTTGAATTCGCCGCCGGCCTACGATGGCGTGTTCGCTGGGCTGACGCGATAACAGCAACAACAAAAACTATCGACAGTCTAGTAGTCGCACTCCTTGCGACGTGCACACTCACGCACGCTATAGCCGATGCTAGAGGCACTCCTGGGTTCGAACACGCTATTCGCGATTTTCGGGTAGCTGCACAACTCTAGCGTTAGTGCTCCTGGACTCCTGCACGTTGTTACCGGTGTCAAAGGCGCTCTCCCACTGGTCCTTTTCTCTTCGCACGCGTTCCTTCCCATTTCGGACCGAGTTCCCGTTTTCGACTTACCCGGGCCGGTAGGTGCTGCCCTCGCAGGCAGCCACGCGATCGAGATGGTAGCGCAAACCGGACATTTACCGTCACAAGCTTTAGAAACTCAATCTTTTAGGCAACCCTTAAAAAAGTAATCCAGGTGTTGAGTCTGATTACTTAGTTGGCCATTGAATTATACCTCTCAGGTTTCAACCGATTTCAATTTTGATGATTACCACACGCGATATTCTTTTGAAATCTTCATAGAGAAAGTATCTATAATGAGAAAATAGAGTTCTTGAAATCTGAGATATAGCTGTTTTTATTCACATACTTGTCATTTATGTAGAATTTTTTTTACTATTTTAATATAATAAATGATTACCATAAAATAAAATAAGATAAATTTTATCTACCAATAATTAAGTTATTATTAACGATATCTCAAATAGCGAGATCATGAAACTTATTAAGATCATTATGCTTGTCACGTAGAAAATTGAAGAATGATTAATTTGTCTTGCGAAGAAAAGAATAAATGACAACTATACGGTGTGAGATGAAAAGAGGAGATTGAATTAGTTATAAGCTATAAATCATTAGATATTAGATTATCAACATCGATATGTATAACATATTGTGTAAAACCCTACAAACTAACTATAGAAATTAAAAACTAACTGTTAAAAATTAATTAATTAAATTAATTATAAATTAGCCAACGATAAAAGCTATAAATAAGTAATCAATGATTTTTTGTAACGAATTAAAATACAGGGCAAACTGTCAAAAGCAAGCGTAAAATATTACATTAATTTATATTAATAATTAAAAATCTTGCAAATTTCAAAATATATTTATAATTCAAATTCTATTGTTTAAAATGAAAAACGAAAGTCGTCAATATGTTTTACAAGTTAAAAGCAATTTTTTGATATAAATTAAACCTATAATTTTATTGTAAACTTTGCGATGATCACAAGTCAAATTTTACCTATAAATAACTTTTTATGGCGATTTTTAAAAGTGAAGTGTAATATATAGCGTAATTGGCTTTGCATTAATAAATGAATGAAGTTTGCGTCAAAATGAAAAATATTGTATAAGCACAAATAGTATAAATAGGCATTTTAGTGTAATATGTTCGCGAATTCTGGGTATAAATACGGGCTCTTGAGTGGTCCAAAGCATGACATCTACTCCTACCTTTCCACGCATAGGATGCCCTAGATGGTAATAAATAAACTTTCGACTAATCTCAAAGAGTGACCACAAATTTAGCCCGGCTTTTCGACTTCGCTAGAGATTTATAGAAAAATGATGAAAATATGCGGTCGGGAGCAAATTACTCGTCATGAAAAATAAAGATAAGATTAATTGTTCGTTTATCGAAAATTTTCGAAAATCACCCCTGTTTAGGGCTTGGAAATACCCAAAAAATGAAATATTTAAATAGCATCAGTAAAAATATAAATAATATCAATCACATATTTTTTTATGCAGTTAATATTAAAAAGTCTTAAAGATATAAATATATTATTGATGGAATCTTTCAGTGTTTAAAAATTCACGCTTACAGCTTTTTAGAGGCAAAAATTGAAACATTGTTTAAAAAACTGACAAAAATATTTAGATGTTTTAGATCGTAAGAATTCGAGAGAAAATAACTTGCTGTTGATATTTATGAAAAAACAACCCCCACGCTCAAGGGTGAAACGACCCTTAATCATCAGAAATTGAGATATTTTCATGCAAATCAAAAGAAATACTTCAATTTCCTTTTTTTTCCTACAGAGAGGTAGACTTCATTCAATCTAGATATTTCAAATTATTTTTTATAAAATCAACCCTTCAGAAAGGATAAAAGCAACCCCTTACAATGATTAGATCCATACAAATTCATAAAAGTAAAAAAAAAATGATACGGACGGATTATCTGAAAGAAATTATGGAAACAGCACTCAACTTCAATATTTGTGAAAAAACTAGCCCTCTAAAGAAGGGAGAATCTACCCCTAAACGTGATAAGTTACGACACTATAGTTGAAAACTGAGAAATATTCAATTTCTCTTCTTTCAGATTTCAGAGAATGAAACTAAATAAACCTATATATTTCACATTATATTTTTTAAAAACTACTCTTCTGGAGGGTGAAATCACCCCCTAAATATTATTAGATCCATCATTATTCTTAAATATTAAATGAAAAAGTATTTGTGATTTTACACGATAAAAATAAGTTTAGTCGATTTTTAGTCATTTCTTTCTAAAGAGATGTCTAGAACTCAAAATTCCTGGTAAGTGGTGCATGGTACTAATTGATCAACCCGTAATTGATTTGTTTTATTTTTATTTATATATTGAGCTATGATTTTTTTCCGTGGTTACTTATTCGCCACTTTATTTTGTGATACATTTTATGAATGGTACCAGTTGTGTATGGTAGGATTTTGCTGTCTTGAATATATTACGGTGTTTGAATTTTTTGACTGTCCTTTTGATGATGATTGGCTATTTCGCCACTGTAAAAGTCTCTTTGAGAGCTCTTTTTCCATTCACTTTTTTAGATCTTTTTGGAGAAAAATATTTGGCTTTTTTGTTTGCGTGTAAGAATTACTTCTTCATTTAAAGTTTTTGAAACAATTCTCAAATTGAATTGAATGGTATTTGAACCGTGCCTTATGTTAATTGTTAAGGTTGCAATGTACGAAAAAGATCAAAACACGATCATTTCTTTTCTCTGGATTCTATAAACAATCCACTGAT